TATCACTCACACCCCCTGATATTTAATTTTATTACACAGACACCCCTCAAGAATCAAAATATTGTTCCAAAATAATCAAAACATCCAAAACATTTTCGTTTCCAAAGAGACTGAAACGAATCAGTGATAAAATCAAAATTATAATATTTCGAGGTATTCCATAATGTTTTGAGATGTTTTGTTATATTTCAGTGCATTTACACAATTATTTCGGAATGTTTCAAGATATTTTAATATATTTTGATCAATGTTTTGAAAAATAAATTCTTTAATTTTTTATTTTTTTTCATTCTTTTTTCAAAACAGATCGAAACATTTCCGAAACACATCGAATTATTTCTGTTTTCTAGGTGACCGAAACAATACACCGAAACAAAATTTTTATCCTTGCCCCTCACATTTTAAAAACAATACTGACCTCTATTGACATTTATAACTTGTAACAGCCACATCCCCTACAGGCTCCAAGTAACAGACGTTAGAATGTCAACAATCAAAAATGATGTTACTAATAATAATTTTTAGAATACCAAAAATATCCTCTAAAATGAAATTTAAGAATTTAAATATATATTGTTCTTACACTATAATTTTATCCCTCATTTATTTCAACACATAAATTTTAATTTTTTAATTGTACTAATACCTACCTATCCAATAAAATTTAAACTCGTAATTCAAACCCACCAATTCTCATAATAATTATGATTTAAAAAAATAATTAAGTTACTCAATATAATAGATTTGTACTAACTAAACTTACCTAACACGTATTAAATCAAATATAATCTATTATTTCCAAATTATTACACCACTAATTAAACAATTAATTATCTAATTTTTTCCCAATTAAGACACCACCAACTAAGGTAATTTTGTTTCTAAATTAAGACACCATGAATTAAGTCAATCATCTCGCACCATCACCCACCCACCATGGGCTTCCAAAATCGCTACCACCCACCAACCTCCTCAACCACCGCCTTTTAAAGAGAGAGAGAGATAGAAGATACGGCGACTGTGAAGGACACCATCGCCTCCACCATCTGAAAGCCACCATCAACACCATCAGTTCCACCATCCAAAATTCACCAGCTCCATCACACAAAAATCACACCATCAACACCACAACCTCCATCATCCAAAACTCACCATCAACACCACTGCCTCCACCATCCCTAAACTCTATCCCTACCCCTAATCTTCTTCTTCATCTCTGACCCTACCACCCATTGTTTCATCACCAAATTTGAGCCATAAAAAATTCTAAAAAATTAACAACAAAAATCAACCATAAATTCGATTTGAAAGATAAATCACAAAAACCAAACTGTGCACCAACACCACTAATGGTAGTGGGAATTTATGCTTCGATTTGATAAAATTGATTTGAAGTTGGTGACTCACCCATTCATGTGGGGTTTACAAATCTAGAGAGAAAGAGAGGTAATATATCCTTTAGATTTGGGGTTTGCTGCGGGGAAAGAACGGGGCCTAAGATAGAGAAAGAAAGGGGGTTGCGAATAGTAGATTTGGAGTGGTGGTGGAAGTGATGACAGTTAAGTTGGGAGGGCTGGATTACGGTGGCATGTTGTATGAAGAGGGTGAGACTTTGGGGGATCTATGTGTGTGTGTGTGTGTGTGTGAGAGAGAGAGAGAGAGAGAGAGAGAGAGAGAAAAGATAAGGAGGAGGAGTTACAAGTATCAAAGAGAGAGAGAGAGGCTCAGAGAAGAGGAGTGGTGGTGGTCTTCGAGTGGATTAAGGTGCAAGGGGAGAGAGAGATATCTTTTTTTGGACTCATTAATTTAGTTTTTTTGTAATATATATTTTTTATTATGTATTTATTTTAAATTAAATTAAAGGGTTAAAAAAATTATTTTATCACTTCGGTTATGCCGATCACCTTTTGATGCCGATAAAGGTTTCCCGTGTCATTTTAAAAATGTCAAGGGGTCTTCGTGTTATTTAGTCAAAATGTCAAGAATTGTGAGTATAATTTACCTTCTGTTTTTTATTTTTGGGTCATTGTGAGCCGGACAATTTAAGGTTTTGTAGTTTCAGATCTTGCCACGTCCGTTGTGGCAGGACCTGTTCGGGTGAATGACGGTGACGTCATGTCATGATACATCAAATCATCGACAAATAAAAATATAATTTGTTGAAATAATAATTAACACCTTGAATAGTGAAATTCAGTTATTTAAAATAATATATTTTTATTAGTCGCTAATATCCATAACATTTGGGTGGAACTTCATTTGACGTGGCATTTGGAAGATTTGCTCAAGCGTTGGGAGAATCTCCTCTAATATTTATTTTTTAAAATTTTTTTTAAGATCATCTATTATTAATAACATAGGGACTTATTTGTAACTACTTGAATACAAAATAAGTAATTTGTCAAAAAAAATTAAAAATAATATTTATTACAGAGGATATCACTCCTCATCATCTCATTCTTGTATTACTTATAATTTCCTTCCTTTTTACCACTTCTCTTCTTTACTATTTTACTTTTCTATTTTATTTTTTAAGAAATTATAAAATAATAGTATCATAAAAGTTTATTTTTAAAAATAAAAATAAAAAATAGTGGTCATTTACATAAGAATCTATGGATTGTTATTTAAGATATTTACTGTAGGTGGGGGTAAAATTAATGGATTAACATGTGCCGACTACCACTATCACAAAGGGACGAATAGCAGTGAAAATTAGAATGGGATAACTTGAGTTGTCGATTAATTGATGGGAGTAATGTTTGAAAAACTAAAATCCTCTTCGATATTAGAAATTTCTAATGATTTAATTCGAGAAAAATCTAATTTTTAAAATTTTTATAAAAAAATTCAATACAATATTTAATGTATTAAATTATTGATAATTATTTTTAAATACAATATGATAAAAATTATTTTAATAACTAGGGCCGCACCTAAGCCTAGGCCACTTAGGTTAAAGCCTAGGCCACTAAGATGGTTTGAACTTAAAAGAATCAATGAAGCCACAACGTAAAGGGATGTTTGATACACCACTTAAAGTTTAAAATTGAAGACTTTAAATACTTAATGAATTAAACTCATTTGATAACCTAAAACTCATACCACTTAATATTTTAAACACTTCTTACAAATAAGTTTAAATTTTAAGTAGCAAGTCACCGACTTTATCACTTAATGCTGAAAATGTTACTCAGTAAAGATCTTATTAATTCCTAATAATGGACAAATATACTCTCAATACATTTTACACTCTTAATTTTTCAATACTCATAATCCATCACTACCACCATTGTGTTGTCGTTGTCACCACAACCATTTTGTTGTCATCGTCACCGCCACCATTTTGCTGTCGTCGTCACCACCACCACCAACACTATCACCACAACCACTATTGTGTCATCATTATTAACACCATCACCATCGTCATCTACCACCATTATTGTGTCGTCACTACTACTACTCTTATGCCACCGTCGTCATTGTGTTACCGCCACAACCACTATTATTGTGCCACCACCACCATCATTGTATTGCCACCATCACCATGTGTCACCATCAATCCCACCTATCATTGTGTTGCCGCCACTACCACCATCATCACCACCCCTACCACCGTCGTCACCATTATGTCATCACCACTATTTACATTATGCCACTAACACCGCCACTATTATTGTGTCACTGCCACTACCACCACTGTCGCTGAAACACTATCATTACTACCATTATGTCACCTCCACCATTACTATTGTGTCACCACAAACACTATTGTCATCATTATTGTATCGCCGTCATTATCAACATTATGTCACCGTTACCATCACCATTGTGTCGCCATCGTCACCTCCATCATTATTACTACCACCTCCATCACCATTTGTGATGAAGGTAGTAGGAATAAGGTAATTGCAGAGAGATGAGTTAAAAAAAATGATAAAATTAAAATAATAATAATTTTTAAATTTCAATTCTTTATATTTGTCAAATAGTTTGATTCAATTCAATATTTAAATTTTAGTTGATACCAAAACAGCCTGCAAATTAAAAATTCAAAATTTAACACTTAAAATTTAAAATTCAATTTTCAGTGCTTAACTTTTAATTATATCAAACACCACCTAAGTTAAAGAATTTAAGACTGAGAGATTCCTACCACAGATGGCCACTCGGAAATCTGGGCCCAATTGTTCTACTAATTTTAAATTTTTAATAGTCTCTCTCTCATACACGCATAAACAGACATATAAACACATAAAGTGCAAATAATTGTTAAATGAACAAATGAAGAAAAAAATATTATCAATCGGAATGTTTTTAAAATATAGATCATACTTCTTTTATTCAATTTAGGTTTAGAGTATTAAAAATAGATAAAATGCTTTTGATTTTTAATTTAGTTTAAAAAAATTAAATTCTTTATATGATGAAAATTTTGAAAAAATATGTTCTTAATTTTAATTTTTTTTAAAACATGACTTATTTTATAGTTTAATTTATTTTTAGAGTTAAAAGTCTTAAGAAACTTCACATATAGAAATTTTACATGATATCACTAATTTAATGATACATAAAACGATAGATTCTTTTTTTATATATCTCCATTATTTATTGACTAGGGTAAATAATTTTATTTTATATAAAAAGGTAAAAATGAAAAAAAAAAATTGATCAATGTTATTATTTAATATATTACTCATGTATATATTTATAGGGCCTACCTTTTTTTTTAATGGGGTCTACTTATCTCACACTCATCCAAGGTATGATATGCATTTGAGTTTTAATTTTTGGGTTTCATTTGAATTATATAACATTTTTTTAAAATAAAATATTAAATAAAAAGCGACAAACTCGGACTGTACATCCCCACCCGCGTAGAATAGACGATGCCACACTGGATTACACAAACCCCTATTATCTTCTCATAAATCTAACGTCTTCTGTGGTCAATTCATTAACCCCCAAAACTCTCTCTCTCTCTCTCTCTCACAGCTCCAATGGCGACCTCGACTTACCGATTCCTCCTCTCTTTCACAATCCTCGGTCTTCTCGCGATCGCCGCCACTGCACGACCCTGTAAAACCCTATTTTTCATATCCACCACCTCATACTACCCCATTGATCAAAACCCTAATGTCCCCCTCCGAAACCACAACAAACCTGGATTCCTCACTTTCTTCTACACCGAAGTCCGTGAAATCCACCCCAAACCCACTATCTTCATCGATCGCACCGATATCGCTGTCCAAAAACGCCCAATTGTCCCCGAATTATATTCTTCCGTGACCAATTCCGTTCGTGACCGAACCAAGGATATTATGAGCGTTGTTGGAGCTTTGCTATTCGGCGTTGGCTGTGGAGCTCTTACTGCCGCGACTATGTATTTGATTTGGTCTCTCTTTACTCCGAATCGCTTCGAATTTGGGGATTCTTATGAGGATTTTGGTGACGAGAGCAATGGTGGAGATGATGTCAGCGCTAAGAAGATGGGTTATGTGACGATTCCAGCTATTCCCGATGCTGTTAAGCCTGCCAAACAGTTGGTGTGAAAGGTTGGGAATGGGATTGATTTGGTGTCTTGGGTTTCAGTTGTAACTTGTAAGTGTGGGATTTATTAAGCAAGTGAAACTATGTGTGTTATCTTTCAGTCTATCTATACATAACATTATAACTGATGCTAATACTTGATATTGTGATTCAAGATATTGTTTGAGATATATAATTCGTAATTTGTAGTTTTATGTGATGGCCTATATTGAGTTTTCTTTCATACTGTATGTTAACAAAGCTTTTCTGTCATTATATTAACGACTGGTGTTGCCCAACCTTATGGTGCTTAGAACATGGTTCGCTTAATCCATGAATACTTAAACTCACTAAATCGAAGTAGTGTTTTTGTGAGTGTGTCTTTGCCACTGTGCACATTTGGTGGGGAGAGACCAACCATTTCATAATTGAATCAATTATCTTGACAGGTGCTTCTCAGATTACAGTGACAAAATATATGGGCAGCAGTTCAACAGATGTACTTCACATTTTAGTGGGGACCCATGGTGCTTATACCTTGCATGATTTTCTTTAGAGATATGGGATGAGACTTCATGTTAAATACTTATAGATAGATTTTCATCTTTATACAATGCACTGTTTATGTAGTTCACTTGTTAGTCTTTGGGTAATATTTCTGGCATCCTTTTTCAATGTAAGCAAAGGACATTTGATGTGCTTTGCCATCGAATTTAGTGTCATGTGTGCATAGTTTCCTAGCTATTTTATTTTGCTTTTGGTGGTATGCTATTTTTCAGTTTTATCCCTTATGTTGCTGAATTCATGCGGTCTCAAGTTGGATCTGCATTAACTCTGCCAAAAGTTTTTATTATTGAACTGTACTTTGACTCGCCCTTTGAGAGCACAATATCATGGTACATTTGATTATTAATGTTGCATGGTGCAATGTAATTGGTGTAATTTTTTCATTAAGATACTGCAACATGACCATTTGTATTCCGTAGAATTATATTGTTCTGCCATTAGGTCTTCCATTCAAATTGCACTTGCTTTCTAATGGTCGGTTTGGTAGGGATGATGGAAAAATGAAAGGAAAGAAAATTGGATGGAACAAATTTTCTTCCGGTATGGAAAAAGATATAACTTTCCTTCATTGTTGTTTGGTACGATGGATGGAAAGTTGAGATGATAAATTTTATGGTGTTTAGTATTGAAAGAGAAGTGAAAGGAAAGAAAAGTATATTATATTAAATTTACTTTTATATCCCTATGTTATGTGGAATGTTCCACAGGCAAGTCAAATGGCAAAAACTTTTTACTGCCAACTCAATCACACATGGCCAACACAACAATAACACTTTCCTATATTACCTGCCACATGATAGTGTAGACAGCCTCATATTTGACAGAAACACAAGATTTTGAATGTTTTTTCATTCTGGAAATTTTACAGCTTGCGTCATATGAGAATGAGACTTTGTTTGTCGTTGGGGAAATGCAAAAGGGTAAAATGGTAAAACTTCATATCCTTGCCCAAAAGTCCATCTTTCTCTCACGTTTTCCACCCATTTTTTGGGAGAAAAACTTTTGATGGGCAGGAGGGAAAGATTTTCCTTCCAACTTTCCTCTCTCTTGTATTTTCTCTACATACCGAATGGTGGAAACTTTTTATATCCATTCCATTTTCCCCTCTTCATTTTCCATCCACCTATTTCCCTTTGTACCAAACAGGCTATAAGTGAAATGAATTTGTAAAAGGATTGGTGTTTGCTGGATTTCAGTTGTGTACTTTTTGATGGGCACTATCTCCTGAAAATTAGATGTGGCTGAGATCCAACTTTCTCAGTTAAAGACTCATAAGTTTTTGTTCCCTAGTTGGAATGCAGAAATTGATAAGTTCCATACTCATTGATTAGAAATATCACAGAATTTGGATGTGAACTACGTGACTGCCCTGCACTCTTAAGGCCAATCATGTTGCATTGTTTGTTATTTTTGGTGGAGGCCCTCCGCTTCTTCTTTAAGCATATACTTCAATGTTGAATGCTCTTTGCAAGGTGGAAAGTCTTATTTGGAATTCTTTATCGAGTATTGTGAGTTTTTTTTTCTAGGTGCAAGGCAACACCCCCCTGTTGTGCCGTTGTGATCTGATGCGAGGGATTTTTTTGTCTCTTCATTGATATATTTTGGGCAATTGGATATATTGGCTTGGATGAAATATTAGATGTGCACTGGATTATTGACTTTGGCTTCTCCATTTCTCTTCGCAGGCTTATTCTTCTTCTATCATCCACTAATAGACTTCCAGCTTGTGCCTTCTTTTTTTATTTTTTGTCAACTTTCTTCTTTTTTTCAATATGTGATTGATCTATTTCCTCTTCTGCTCTCTCTCTCTCTGTGGATTTTCTCTCTTCTCTATTTTTTATTATTATTTTTTTTTGTATTTGGAATAGGTTTTGTAAGTTAATTATCTTAGGCTTTTTAATTTTTATTTTCCGAATGATATTCTTAAATTTACATTTTGAAGGCAAAAGTAGAATTTGTGCTTATATGCCTGGAATGAGTTGTCAAATCTGCTTAATTGCATGATAATGAACACGATTTTCAGGTCATTAGGACAGATGGAAGCTTAGCACTAGATGTTTGTTGATTTGGTTCTTCATGTTTTCAGGTGTTAAGATATTATTGGTGTTTGTTGGATGCCCTATGTTTTCGTTGAATTTGAATGTTTGCGTTTTGAAACACTGGAACTTGGATGCTTTATGTTTTAGAATTCTTATGTTTTTTAATATTCTTAGCATTTTTTGGTCACAACTTGTAACTCTTGTGGCCTAGTTATGCCGAAACATTTGCTGATGTTAGATTGTTATTAACAACACAAGCCTTGTTTTGATGTTGCCGCCTGGCCTGACCTCTGGTCTTGTGTTTGAGCCATAGGAGACCATAGAGTACCTACTTGGGTAGATAGATATTTTATATCCTATTAAAACTAAATTAACAGTTTACAACTGCAGAGATAATGACATGAGAACCTTGGAAACTACACCTTGGTTCCCCGAGCAATTCTAAGATGATTACACCCGTTGCAAAAATGGCGAGATTTTCGGACTTTAGATTCAATGCCTACTTACATTCTACTAGATACTTTTGGGGTTTGCATTTGATTGTGTTACGAAGAAAGTTATTTCTGATTTTTTTTAATGTGCCAATGTACTGCTGTTGTTTGGTGATTGCTCGTTTTGTGCAATTTGTATGGCTATTTCACTTGGAAGTCTAGCTGTTTAAAAAAAATGTCAGGTTGGGCTTTATTGGACACTATTACATAGACTCTAATTGGGCTTCTTGGAAGGAGGGAAACCCCCAAACAGTGCTTATTAGTGTGCAATAGGTGTAGTGTCCCATTTTTTTGACTCTATGAGCTTATGTGGCAAGGAAGTGAGAAAACGAAGGCATACAAGTGGTGATTCTGTATGTGAAATCTAATTTTTCTCTTACTAGTGGTGTATAAGAATATAGTTAACTGTTTGCTGTCCTTTAAGAAAAGTTGTTGCAGGGTTTGATATCTAAGGAGGCAAAGAACGGGACCTTGATACTGTTCTAAAACTAAATTAACTTAGGTGGTGATTGGTGAAATGAAGCTAAGCTTTCTGGATGACTCTTTTAAGAATAGATGATGGGATTTGAGTGAAGTTTGCTCCTATATTTTGAGCTTCTTGGGGGTAGAAATAGGTTTTACTCATAGATTTGGCTATATATCAATTTAACTTGTTGAATATTACAGTCGATGGAGCTAAATAAGTGAAATGAAGCTGGCCTACTCCACCTTTTCACAGCATTACCCACTCGGGGTCAAGCTTGGTTCAGGCAGTTTTTATCAGAGAGCCCAGGCACTGGGTGGAAATGCTGTCAGCCCTTGTGCATCTTTTCTCAAATTCTGAAAAAACTTAGGAAATTGTTTCACTGGAGCCACTTTCAAAACCCGCGGAAAACGAATTCTTTTGATGCTCATACAACAGGGCTACATATTTTCTTTTATGTCACCTACTTGTGACATTTTGTCACGACATAACAGTCATTGTTTTGTAGGCTTGTTGAGCATACTCAATGCTGGTGTACTAAGAAGCACGAACACGGATTGGATATGGCACAGCACAAGGATAGGATACGGCACGACACACGGACATGTATTTTCTCATAAAAGTAGGACACGGACACATTTGGGGATATGATAAGTTAATGTTATCTCTAGTCATCTAGTTTCAATTTTAGACTAAAGGATCTTAATAATTAATAATAATCAATTTTTTTGTATATGACGTGCACCCAACGTATTTAATTTAAATGAATGATTTTGGTTTTAAAACTAAAGGGCTATTGGAGTGTGTATGGGTAAATGATGATTTTGGCTTTAAAACTAAAGAACTAGGTACGAAACTTTGAATGGGACTTTAGATTGTTTTAAGTGGTTTTACTTGAGCAGTTGGAGTTCTAGTATGTAGCTGGCTTTGGCTTTGGCTTTTGAGCAGTTGCTCACATCTCTGCTTTTACTTGAATGGATACATGCATAACATCTTTTGGCATTCCTTACTCAGGTAGCCTCGTTGCCTATAGGATTCAGCCCCAGCTGGTGTGTTATCTTAAATGTGGAAGTCCTGGTCCCAAACCACCCCACCCCTGCCCCCTACCCCCTACCCCCATCCACAGCTGAGGGGACCCCTCTCTCTTCCCCTTTGTGTTTCCATCCTCTACTCTCTAGGATGTTCATCTTCTCTTTTGTCCCTTGCTATTTGAATTTATGATTACCAACTGGAAAGTTGAAAAGTTGTTTTGGTGCATTCCAATTTGTTGTCATGGCTGGAGATGCCTATGTTAATGCATTATATGGGAATGCCTTTGCTGCTGCCTGGACTAAATTAGGAATGGGTCTTTTAAGAAACTTCCATTTCTACCGATTCGCTCAGATTTCGCTGTTAACATATCCTTCTTGTTTGTGGTTAGTTGTGGGCCTTGTGGACCTTTGTGATTTTGTTCTCGTGCTACAGATTGGCATATCTTGTAGCTGTCTTGATGGCTTTGAATGTATTTTTGTCTTGGCACCTGGACCAAGTTAAAAGTGGTGATGAGAAAACTGATTTTTTAGTAATTTGGTTGTTGCTTTCGGTTTTGCGGGTTATTAATGCGGCAGTTTTTCGCTGTAGAGAGAAAACAGATTGTTTTTCTGTTATTTTCTCAATCTGAAATGTCTTAAAAGGTGTAGTCTTGTTCATACGATTCACTACCAAGGTGAATGTCCATTGTCTTTCTCTGCATAAACCTTTGCTATAGGAATTACTGCAGTCTTGTGGCATATTTTGTGAATTATTTCACCGGAATGAGAGGAGATTAGTGAACTAATTTTTCTTGGTCACTTGATAGCCTTGTGCTTAAGTAAACTTTGGCTTCAAACAATGCTATAACCGGACACGGGAGTGAGGGCTTCGAGTCTGTTGTACAGCGTTTCGTAGACCTTTGCTCTCCAGCAATGTAGAAGGGGCTTCATTGCGCAGTTCCATCGGTTGTGCTCAAGATTAATCATTCTGAATATGATTACGTAGGGATTTTTTTTTTTTTTTTGGGGGGGGGGGGGGGGTGGGGGTGGGGTTGTAACATAGCACGAGGAGAATTTCCAGGTTTGTGAAAAACTCAACCAACAATCATAATAACAACCATATTAACCTTGGAAATCATCCTCATGGCAATGGTAAATTACCCCCCTCCCAAAAAACCACCACCAACACACCCCAAAAAAAACAGAACTCTGAAGTATATCTGATTGATAGATGTGTTTGCCCATGGTCAAATCCATATTGAATGGCAGTAGAGAAAGAAACGATTCCCAATGTTGGCTTACATAATCACTAAAACCCAATTGGACAAATAGAATGTCAGTTATCAAGTCACTGAAATTTTCCACCATTTTTAGTAAAAAATAAAGAAAAAAAACCCACAACTCAAAAGCCATGCGGCCCATTAACTGATTTGAGTGTGATTATTCAATTTCCACTTACCTTCTCAATGGCCTGTCCACTTTGTGAAATTCCCAAAGCATCTTTGACACCCCCCCCCCTCTCTCTTACTTGCTTTTCCAAAGGATTTGAGGAAAATTTTATTTTTATGAAGAAAGAGCACATGTTATGAACAGACACATGCAATCTTCCAAGAGAACTCTGCTTGTCAATGAGTACAAGGCGCCACCTGATTTCAGAGGAGAAATTTTTATGTACATAGCTCTGATGAGTTGGTCCTTTTAAAAATTTCTCTGAGAAATTGACGAGGGGTAGTGATTTGTTGAGATGTATAATTTTACGATTTTATCAGTATTGTAACGAAAGTTATTGCCTTTTAAGGTGTAAGTTATATATTTTAAAGGTGAAATTATAATTATTTGAGGTAAATTCACGATCAATAATAACTAATTCTTAATCAGTTGTAACTTCACATTTAAAAGGTATAACTTAAGTTTTAAAAGTTAGTAATTTTACCTTTAAAAGTTATAACTCTCATGGTTGATTATGATAGTGGATATATACACCACGTGACTCACTCCACATAATAAGTAACAACACGTACAAAAATTTCTCAATTTCAGAGGGCTTTCTAGATGGCCTTCACCATAATCATCTAACTCAACCTTGTCACCATCCCCCGCAGCTATCAAAACATAAATATCCAGTGGCAGGGCCAGTGCAAGTCTACTTGAGTTCAATACTCGTGAAAGAGCAGAACCAAAACAATGAAATTTGTAATTGAAAAGCACATTCTGAGGAGATGCCCCCTCGTACCGCTACTTTATGTTTCCTCTTCCACAAACAGGGTGAACTTCTGAGCCACAGTGCGGGAAAGATACCAGAGGCCAACTGAATGAAGGCCTCACACTTTTACCTTTTTTGGTCGCCATGGCCTTGCTCTATGGTATTCCTCACATTCACATTTAGTACCTGGTATTTCATCCCTACCATCCTGAAATATAGAATTGATATGAGAAAGACAATGTCATTTGAACATTCAACATGGAAGTTCAAAATGCCCAAGAAGAAGATGATAACATTGAGTAGGTCATTTGAGAGCAATTTTCGTTCGTTCGACTAGATATCTATTATCACATCCACTTATGGAATTGTGTAGTTAAGAGTGTTTTTTTCTATTAAAAAGTAAGTTTTTTCTTGTCCATTTGGTCTTTATGAAATTCTTCATTTATGGTAACAGCAAGTTATGTCGATTAACTCATTTTTCCTTGTTTCTACGCAGAAGAGATGGGAATTAATTGAAACAATCCAGTCTATAGTTGTTTCGTATATCACTGTTACCTTCTGCATTGTGTTTTTTTCTATAAAAGGGCGCGAATCGTCTTAAGAGAACGACCCAGCTCATGCCTCACCACTGAAGTTCATTTTATCTTTCGGATTCATTTTTCCAACAATTTATTATTTCAATTATCAAAACAAAATCCTAAATTTGACATTGTCAAGTTTCAGTCAAGTAAAGCCATGGCACCTCAAAATTGCACAATTCCGAAAACAATAATTAATTAAAGCACAGAAGGTTTACCTCTTGCATGAACAGCTTGTTTGTGAACTAATGATTCTTCCAAGCATTAGTTATTCATTTGCAATATGTTCCAAGTAATCTTGCTCAGCTGTGATATCATCTTCATCAAAGCAACGAGACTTCAAGTGCTTGTCGATCCCTATTGATAACAATTCGATCTCCTCCATAAGTACATGAGACCTATCTCCAGCAACAAATTCACAAACCATGCCATCAACTTCAATCAAGCTACATCCAGGCACCTTCTTCACCTTATTCTCTTCCATTCCCTTCCTCACCTTTTCGACATGATCCCATCGGTTAACTGAGGCATAGATGTTAGAAAGAAGAACATAAACGCCGCTGTGATCAAGACTCCGCTCAGTCAATCTCTCGACCATTTCTTTGCCCAGATTGACATCACCATGGACTCTACAAGCATTAAGCAATGCACCTAATACATAAGAATCAGGTTCCATGGGCATCTTCCTTGCCACTTGCTTTGCCTCTTCTAGCATCCCTGCACTACCTAAGAGATCTATCAAGCAGCCATAGTGCTTAAGCCCGGGCTCAATCCCATAAACAGTACTCATACTTTCGAAGATTCTCAATCCTTCTTTCACCAACCCCACTCGACTGCAGGCACTCAAAATGCACATTAATGTAACTTCATTTGGCTTGATTCCTTCATCATTCATCCTCATGAACAATTCAATTGCGTTCGCGCTTTGACCATGATTTGACAAACCCGAAATCAAACAAGTATAAGCAAACACATCTCTACATGGCATCTCCTCGAAAACACGACGAGACATTTTGACGCACCCACATTTTGCGTACATGTCTACAAGGGTCGTGCCCAACACTGTATCTAACTCCATTCTATTCTTTTCTATATATGCATGTATCCATCTACCCTGATCCAAAGCACCAAGAAAAGCACAAGCAGAGAGCACACTGACAATCCCAGCATGATTAGGCCGAAACCCAGTAATCATCATATCATTAAAGAGCTCCAAAGCCTCCTTAAACAACCCAACTTGCACATACCCAGTAATCATCGCACTCCAAGAAACCACATTTTTCTCTGGCATTTGATCAAACAGTTGTCTCGCAATCACCACCTGCCCCGCCTTTGCATACCCGTTAATCAGCGCAGTCCATGTAATAACATCGCGATTCGAACTAATATCAAACAATTTACGAGCTAAATCGGTACAATCACAAGTAGCATACAAATGGATTAACCCATTTTGCACAAAATCATAACCTTCCCAACCCAATTTAATCGCTTGGGCATGGCATACTAGACCCAGATACAATTCAGATAAATCAGCACAAGCTCTGAGAACAAAAGAAAATGTATAATTATTCGGTAAAAACCCATTCTTCATCATTTCTCTATATAGAGATGTGGCTCTGGTGGGTTCATTTTTCTCTGCAAAGGCTTTGATCATGGTGTTCCAAACATAGGTGGATCGGTGAGGCAAAAGGCAAAAGAGGTCGAAAGCGTGGGAGAGATTGCTTTGAAAGGACAGTGTGAATAGTCCAACGAGTTTTCCGGCAGCGAAAGGGTCGGCGATGGTGCCGGAGATGATGAGGTGAGATTGGATTTGCTTGATTTGAGCCACTGTGAGGCATGGTTGGTTTAGGAGAGAAAGAGCTCTATAACTTGATTTCAAATATTTGGAGGTAACTTGTGACACCATAACACAAACGGTTCAATTTTGCAGTTTTTGGTACATAGAGCTTAAAAGAGGGCAACCCCTTGAATTCATATTCACAAGAATTGTAAATTGTCGCCCGACACCACGTGACACTGTGACAATGTTATCTATCATACATTGTTAATAAAAAATTGTAAATTCTTAATGAATAGTCATGACCCGTGCCTAGGCACGATAAAACATAAAATTCAAACGTCTAAAAAATCGATTCCACTATATTAAATTTTTTTAAAATATATTAATTAAAAATTAATTAAATATTAAATAATTAAATATATGATAAAAATAAGTAGTGTGATATTTTTAGGGAAAAAATATATAAATGATTAAATACGTGATAGAAATAAGTGATGTGATTTAACGTAAAATGGAAAGCTTGTTATTCAACAGTATAACATGACTTATATGTCCGTGTCAACCAATAGCTATTTAGATTTATCTTAATTTTTTGTAAATGAATGAAGTGGGTTTTAAAAAGAAAATAAATATAGATTTTTATACATATATTTTCGATATGACAATGGGTTGCCCGGGATTCAAACCCGGTCGGATGGAGTAGGTAATTTTGTTATTAAATAAGTAAAAACCCCTCCCCAAACCATGCTTGCATTTTTCATTGCACACGGCTTTTCCTGTGTATACATTTAAAACTCAGTTTCTTCCTTAACTTAGACAAGATTTTCAAAAAGTTGAATACTTAGTTAATGTTGAGTCTGACAAATGGATGATGGGTGAGGTAAGTGATTGACGATGATTTTGAGAGGAAAAATATGAGTAGGATAAAATTCAAACACACTCCTATTTTATTATATAGATGACTGGCGCTTGACACTGTGACATAATTTTTTAAAAAAAAATTCAACTTCTGTGTATCTCAAAAACTAATTGTCTGGATCGGGTCAATGGCGTGGTCATTGAAGTCACCCCCTTATGCTATCGAATGATTTGGGCACATTTTATAGAGATTTAATTAAATTTAATGTTTAAATAATTTTTTTAGATATATATTCAATTAAGTTCAATGTTTAAATAAATTTTGTAGATATGTATTCAATTAAGTTCAATTTTATTTAAGTATTTAAAAAAAATAAAATTTAGAATTTTTTAAATTTGATTGTGCTTATTGAGCATTTGTTTATTTTGTTAATGACAACATAAAATACCATTTGAGTCTATGATATTTAGCTTAAGTTTTAATAATTATAATTTTTATTTTTTTTTGATTATATTAACATTAAATCTAGTAAAATTTTATTTTACTATTAAATCAGATATGATGCTTTTTTCGAACTAATAATACTATTTACTGAAAAAACATGTTATCAAAACTTGAATACGAAAATCTAATAAATATTTTTGTTTCTCAAGAGACAATAATATAAATAATAATTTAAATTTTATCTTAAATTTTAATAAAGTCTCGTTTAAATTTTTATTTTGGGCCCATTTTGTATTGAGTCACCATGCTTACTGTGTGACACTTCCTCATTGAATGTAGGTACGATATCGTCAATTGGTGCCTTAGAAGCACACAATCTATATTCACAATTAGTCATGTGCGTCATGCAAAAGAAAGAGTAAATTATATTTTATACCTTTAAAGTAAACATTTCTTTTATATTTGGCCCTTGAACTATTAATTAAAACAATCAAGTCTCTTAACTTTGAGTTCTATTTTAATTAAGTCCTCTAGTTCAAATTTATCAGTAATTTTAAAGAAAAAGAGTCACATGAGCATAGTACGATCCAATTACAAGATTAATTTTGAATAAGTTGACTCTAAAGTTAGGGTTAATGAATTAAAATTACATTTTCTAACTCGTTTGATATAGATTTAAGTATTTCAATCTAATGTATTGACTCATATTCATGTTACTTTGATCATATTATGTATGTGATTGGTGCATGTAATGCTCATGTGAGGTATTTTTATCACAATTACTCATGAATTTTGACAAAAAAGGAGTTGATTGAAACTAGTTGTGAAGTTTAAGGATTTGATCGTGGCAATTGATTGTCAAGGGACCAAATAAAAATTAAGTGTAAATTAATTATAATTCACCCAAAAAGGAATAAATTAAAGAGTTAATGAAAGAGAGATATGCAAGTTATAGGTAGTTAAAAGAGGGATTAAATGCAATTAAGTGTGATTAAAATAAATATATGAAGCTAAAGTAAAATAAAAGAATGGTGATTTGGGTAATTTAAGAGTGGACTCCACAAACCCACGTCACTTTAATAGTAGTATAGATTTAAGTGATAGTTTTTTGTTTTATCGATATTTATTACTTTTCCTTATAAACATCCATTAAGCCTTATTATTTTTGTTTTATATCAATGAAGTCTTATTTTTAATATTTTATTTAAATTAAGTCCAACTTCAGTTATATTTCAATTTTATCCTTATTCTTTAGTTACCAAAATACTTTCATTTTTATGTTAATTTGGCAGCACACTCATAAGACATTTCAATTGTTACGTGATTTTGCATTCTTTCTGGTATGTCAACTTCAGTGGCACACCTTTGAGACTTTTTAATTTGTTATCTGATATGTTTTCTTCTTATAACAAGTTATATCTTATTTCGATTAAAGTAATATTATTATATTGTAGATTCTATTAATACATTATCTCGTTAGTTTTAAATTATTCTATTAATTTATATTGAATTTAAAATTATTAAATTAAAATTTTATTTTAGTTTGTTGTGTTTGAATAGATAATAACATTAAATTAATTGACAAATATTATCAATATATTTTTTTTAATGCTTATTATTTTATTAAATACTCGACAAATATTGTCTCAGGTTTTAAGATTGGGTACCACAATGAGATAAGAAAGTAAGAAAATGTAGATTTTTTTTGGATCTTACTCTGAAATTTATGTTAGCTGACTTTTTTTTTTTTTATGGGGTTTCAATGTTAGTTTTTTAAGCAAGAAGTTTTTGCCATCTTAATTGGTTATAAGAATGAGAAAAAATGAAAAAGTTTTGATAATTAAAGGATAAGGATAAAATAAAAATAAAATTAGAATTTAGAACCTAAACGAACTAAAATATAAAAAATAGGATTTCATTGATATAAAATAAAAATGATAGGACTTAATAGATTTTTGTGAGAAAAAGTAATACTTATTGGTAAATTTTTTTTTTGGAACAAATTTAAGTGATAGTTGAGTAGTATTACTTTTAGGTTAAATTGAATTTCAAAATTATTTTATGACTCGAATCAATAATGCTTAGATGATAATTGAATAATTTATATGGTCTCACCTACTAGTCTAACGGTGCAAGGAATTTCGTAAGAGTTCAATGGGTCAAGGCTTCTTTGGTGGCCTTGATGATGCACAAAATAATTTTGTATATCAACTGTCAAGTGTAAATAATAAATGCAAGAAATAATATAAGGTAATGGAGAGACACAAGCAATTTATAGTGGTTCGGTTAACTCGATCTACGTCCACTCTTGAATGACTCTAGTTGTCGGATATTTTATTAATTTAAGCGTGTGGAGAGCAGATAATACAAGCTTTGAGGGAGAGCAGAGAATCGTGCTCATGGAAAGTGTGATGCCCAGGTAAAAGTGTGGTGCTCATCATGCCCACCAAGTGTTAGTGGAGCTCACAATTTATAGTTGTCCTCCTAACAGATTTGGGCGAGGTGTTAGCAACTATATAACTATTCTGGTGTGGAGCTCATGACTTCTCCTCAACAGGCTAGGCAGTTGCGGTGCTCTCCATGGGATGCGGTCAAAGATACGGTGAGGGTGGACCGTTTCCTTTGGCGGTGCAAGTAAGACTTCCCATGCTCTCCCTCTTGATGATGTGGCTAAGAAAAGAGTCTGACTGGTCTTGAGCTATGTTGGGCTTGGTGGATCTTTAAATGAGGTTAGTCTCCTCAATTGGGATTTGGACTTTCCACATAGATTGGGCCATTTGGGCTTGACCCATCATTTGCCCCCCAATGCCCCGTGTTCAAGGAAACTTGGAGAAAGGTGCATTAATTTGCTCCTTGAGTTATAAGTGGTGGAAACTTCCTCTGCTAGATGACTCTTTCCCTCCACAATGCATTTTTGCTTTGCATACCTCAAGTTTTTTCCACTTTTGCTAGGATTTTTAGAAGAACCCATAACCTTCAATTTGGGTTTTTCCCTCTTTAAAAACCTTAAGCTATAAATATAACCATCTCCTTCATCCTACTAATTTCATTCACTTTGAAATTGAACACCCACCTCTTGAAAACCTTGAGAACTCAAATCCTACCCATTTCGAGTGAAGTTTTCAAGTGGGCAATGTTAATTGAAGAGGGAGTGGTGGAGATCGAAGGAAGGGAGGAGGTAGGCGCCATTTTAGGCATTGGTTTGGGCGAATTTAAGAAATTTTCTTGGAGTGCAGGGGGTTGCCCAAGCACTAGAAGGGCTGTCCTGGATAGCTTGGGAGCTGAATGAGCTGTCATGGACAGCTTAGGCGCTAAAAATGTTGTCCTGGACAGCTTGGGAGCTCAGAAAAAAAGGCTAGATAGCTTGAATGCACAGCACAATGAGCTGGACAGCTTGGGTGGAGTGCTGGACAGCTTGGGTGGAGTACTGGACCGCCTTGGAGCGCAAAATAGGGAGTTGGGCAGCTTGGGTGAGCAAAGCAGAGAGCTGAACAGTCGTGTGCAGGCAAAAAATGGGTCTGTCCAGACCATTAGGCACGCAGCAGACGTGCACAGTGGGCGAGAAGGGAGGCTGGGCAACAACCTGGCCATTGTTTCTGCTGTCTTGGATAGCTTAGACGCACTGGGCAACGCAGATTTTGTTGTCCTGGGCAGCTCACTAGCGATGGACAACAATATTTTTTCAGCAAAAAGTGCAAGAAATCAGTCCAAGGTGCAGTGGGGAGAGCAGGGCAGCAACCTGGGTGCTGGGGCTGATCTAAGCGCTGCTCCAGACGATGATCCGGGAACCGTAGACGCTGATTTAGGTGCCAAAAGTGCCATT